CCAGGTTTTGAAGGTCTAGAATTGCAAACAGTTGCTTTTAGTTTGAAACAAATTAAAACTGCCACTAACAACTTTGATGCTGCAAACAAGATCGGAGAAGGTGGTTTTGGTTCCGTTTACAAGGTATTGTTTTTGGAAAAGATAATTAATTCCATAATCTTTTTCCTCATTCATGATTTCTAATTGACTAATTGGTGCAGGGTCAACTATATGATGGTACCATAATCGCTGTGAAGCAGCTCTCATCTAGATCAACGCAAGGAAATCGTGAATTTTTGAACGAGATTGGCATGATTTCATGTTTACAACACCCGAATCTCGTCAAATTGTATGGATGCTGTATTGAAGGAAATCAGTTGCTGGTAGTGTACGAGTACATGGAAAATAATAGCCTTGCTCATGTTTTATTCAGTAAGTGTGTGCTTATTCTGTACATCTTCGTTTGCATTTTCAATTTCTCCCAATGATAATATCTGACATTTTTCTGATTTTGGAGAACGTTCATATCCAGATGAAAACCAATTAATGCTTGATTGGCCAACAAGGTTCAAGATCTGTATTGGAGTTGCTCGAGGATTAGCTTTTCTTCATGATGAATCAGGACTTAGAATAGTTCACCGAGACATTAAAGCCACTAATGTATTGCTAGATAGAGATCTAAACCCGAAAATATCGGATTTTGGATTGGCTAGGCTTAACGAAGACGAGAACTCCCATATTAGCACTAAAGTTGCTGGAACAATGTGAGTTCAAACCGATTATACAAGTATTAACTGAATGTACTTTCTACCTTTTACCTCGAAGTTTACTCTTATTTCTCACCACAACTAGGTATTTCTCGTTTTGATTGTAGAGGATATATGGCACCTGAATATGCACTATGGGGTTATCTGACTGATAAAGTGGACGTTTATGGCTTTGGAGTTATGGCTTTGGAAATTGTTAGTGGCAAAAGCAACAGTAAGCCAAGGGACAATTTCATTGGCCTTTTGGATTGGGTACTAAAAACATCCTTTTCTTCATCGTTTCACTTTACTTCCATATTCTGTACCACATTTTGCATGATAACATGTAAAATTTTTGCATACTGCTTCACTGGAACATAATTATATTGCAGACTTCTCACTTGCAAGAAAGCAAAAATATAGACAAACTTGTAGATCTGAGGTTGGGTTCTCGAGTGAACAAAGATGAAGTAGAAAGAATGGTGAAAATAGCACTCCTGTGTACCAACGTAACGCCATCCATCAGGCCAACAATGTCCGAGGTAGTTCAAATGCTTGAAGGAAAAATGGCAATTCCAGATGTTATCTGGGAAGGAAGTACGTATACAGATGATATGAGGTTTAAAGCCATGAAAGACTTCCACCGGCAGATGCAAAATGGAAGTTGTAGTGGAAGCCAAACTCAAAATTCAGTAACAATACAAACAGATGGAGGTTTTTCTTCATCTACCGCCTATCCTCCTAAATCACCAGAGATACGATGTCTTATTGAGTAGTGACATTATTTTGGTTGCAACATGTGTTTGATGGAATCAGAATCACGTAAATTTGTAATTTATGTTGAAAATCTTCGAGTATGTATTGCGGTAATTTACAAAACGAAATAGTGAATAAATATTCGGGCAGAATTTCGACTTACAAAATTAGCGTAATAAATCAGAATGAATAATGGTATGTATTCCATTGAGACGGCGTGCGCGTGTGGACTTTGGCTGAGCCTAATAGCATGTATGTCATCTCCCCTCTAAAGACTAGTGGTGCCCCTTGGGCCCAAACCCAAGTTTTTAACTTGAGTTATATAAAGTGGTTTCTATTCTTCAAGTTTTTTCATGTGGGATTGACACTTTCCAATTTCCTATCAATTTTTATTTCCAATTTATTTCAACTTCAACTGGTCATCTTTTGACTTTAATTTCTCATTCAC